CTGACCAGTGAACCCGCTCAGAGTCTGGCTGCCCTTCGCTTTCTGCAGGTGGGAGCTCTGGGGGACGAGCACCCCGCCGGCCCTGAGCCATGGCCGTACCTGTTGCCGTCCTCGACTGCGACCTCTTGCTCTACGGCCGCGGGCACAGGACTTTGGATCGCTTCAAGCTGGAGGATGTCACGGATGAGTACCTCGTGTCCACGTACGGCTTTCCCCGGCAGTTCATCTACTACCTGGTGGAGCTCCTGGGATCCAGCCTCTCTCGCCCTACGCAGCGCTCCAGGGCCATCAGCCCAGAGACTCAGATCCTCGCCGCCCTGGGGTTCTACACCTCGGGCTCCTTCCAGACTCGCATGGGGGATGCCATCGGCATCAGCCAGGCCTCCATGAGCCGCTGCGTCTCCAACGTCACCGAGGCGCTGGTGGAAAGAGCCTCGCAGTTCATTCACTTTCCCGAGGACGAGGCTGCCGTGCAGAGCCTGAAGGATGATTTTTACGGGCTGGCAGGCATGCCGGGAGTGCTGGGGGTGGTCGACTGCACCCACGTGGCAATCAAAGCGCCGAACGCGGAGGACCTGTCCTACGTGAACCGAAAAGGGCTCCATTCCCTGAACTGCCTGATGGTGTGCGACGCCAGGGGGGTCCTCCTGAGCGCGGAAACGCACTGGCCGGGCAGCCTGCCCGACTGCGCCGTCTTACAGCAGGCAGCCCTGACCAGCCAGTTTGAAACTGAGCTGCATAAAGACGGCTGGCTACTCGGTAAGTGAATTTTTCATTGTTGTTTTCTGTGGGGGGTTTAGTATAGATCAGCTCCTTGCAGCATCCAGAGCTTCTGGGCACAGGTGGTACATTGACTTTTGCTTGCTTTCCTGCAGATTCTTTGGGATTTGAGATTCAGTTTGGGTGATCCTCCTCTTAGCGTCTAGAAAGGGAACTTCTAATCTGTTTTATACAGTCTGATTATTATTGTATGTATGGGTTTTATTCTGCTAAGAGCTTGTTTTCAATATCCTACACCTTTCTAAGGTGAATTGTGCATTTCTTTATTTCTATGTAGTGTCCTTGTCCAGTTGTCTTTCACTGTATTACCTAGTAAATAAATTCTCTTAAAATCCTCTCTTTTTTTCCAAGATTCAGTGTAAAACTGTTTTGTTGCCTAAAACATTTGCAACCCTGAGTTATTGCTGCTTTTTTTGTGCTTTCTCATGCCTTCTGTTGGAGCCAGAGCAGTAAGTGACTCCGCGGGCAAACCGAGAAGGCCGAGGGTGGCGAGCTGACGCCTGTGGCTGACTGCAGGTGTGTAACCTGTCCTCCTTGTCCCTGCTGACAGGTGACAGCTCCTTCCTGCTCCGGCCGTGGCTGCTGACCCCTCTGCACATCCCTGAGACACCTGCTGAGTACCGTTACAACATGGCCCACTCTGCCACGCACCACGTCATGGAGCGCACCCTCAGGACCCTCCGGGCGCGCTTCCGCTGCCTGGATGGCTCCAGAGGCACCCTGCAGTACTCCCCAGAGAAATCCAGCCACATCATTCTGGCCTGCTGCGTGCTCCATAACATCTCCCTGGAGCACGGGCTGGATGTGTGGTCCTCACCAGCTACGGGACACGTGGAACAGCCAGAAGAAGAGTATGAGCAGATGGAATCCGTGGACTCTGAAGCCTGTCGTATTCGTCAGGAGCTTTTACTGACTCATTTTAGTTAGTGTGGGGACAGAGGGAAAGCTTCTGATGGTCCCTCTGGGAAGATACACAGAGCAAATACGCCCCTTCCTCTTCTTTAAGTCTGTAAAGACTAAGCAGATGTGAGACGAGGAGAAATTTTGCTCTCTTCATTTCAGGCAGTATTCTGAACTTGCTTTCCAGAGGTGCAACTTAACTGCTCAGTTTTGACTGTTGTGATGCTCACAGGCTCCCCTTTCACCTGGCTTAGAGAACAACGACTAACATGAGCTCAGCAGAGGCACTTGGGAAGCTGTCTTTGCTGAAAAACCTGTAAGCCTTGCACTGTTTTACAAAGCAACAATCCCCTGCCACTTTGTAACCCAAAACACTTGTCATTTTTTTTAAACAGCACCCTTACAATTTTTTACACAGTATTTCACACCAATTAAACTTCTGTGCGGGCTCATGTCTACCACGAATTCATGAGCAGCAAAGCAAACACTGTCTTTTTGTTTGCAGGTATAAAGTTTGGCTAAATACCCTTCTGCAGTATTGCACATCTCACAAAACCCAGTGATTTATTTCCCTGCAAGCTGACAGCTGTGTTCTGGGAGGGCTCTGACTTTTTCCTGGGTACACACTAGGGCTTGCACTTACCCAGCCAGTCAAGCAGGACTGAGTGTTTCTTTTTTCCCCAAATAGTCTGAAGAAGATGTGAAGCTATGGTTGACTGTCAGATACTTTACAGGTATCAGGAGAAAGGCTGGTGAATGTAAGTCCAGTTCTCTCTAGGTGTGTCTGACACAGCAGAGAACAACTCAGCTGCCTGCTGCTGTTTTTCCCCAATGTGATAAGCAGTGAAATCCATTCTGAAATTAAACTCTGCCAAAGAGAACAAGAGGAAACACCCTCAAGTTGGGCCAGGAGAGGTTTAGGTTGGATATTGGGAAAAATTTCTTCACTGAAAGGGTTGTCAAGCCCTGGAACAGGCTGCCCAGGGAGGTGATTGAATCACAATCCCTGGAGGGGTTTAAAAGTCCTAGAGATACAGTGCTGAGGGACATGGTTCAGAATTAGAATTGGTAGAGTTAGGTTAATGGTTGGACTTGATCTTAAAGGTCTTTTCCAACCTAAATGATTCTTTGTGTCTGTATTTCCAAGGTTCTCTTGACAGCAGTCTGAGAAAAATTTTGTTTCTTAGGTTTTATTGTTTAGTGGGCAGTAAATGAAACAAAGTGGTAGGGAAGGCAGAGTGCTGCACAAATGTAGCTACTTGAAGTAGCAGTGCAACCTTCTGGCCTTTTAAAGGACTCATCTCCCATGAAGTATCAGCTAGGAACTACTATTCCTGTGGCAGAACTGCTCCCATTACCCACAAAGAAGCATGCAAACATTGTAAAACAAAATACTGATCTTTAGACCTAAACACCAGAGCCCCCTGAATGAGCTGCTTGGGTGCCACTGAGGTCAGGTGAGCCTTGGAGGCTGGAGGTACAAGCACAGGCAGGTCATAAGGAGCTGGAGTTTCTCAACTCATCCTATGAATAGCTTTGAGCAGCCTGTGCCAAGAGCAGGGTGAACTCACAGTGGAGGCACTTCCTGGAACGTGTTTGCTGCTGGGTTTTGTCTTTCTTCAGCCCCTGTCAATTTTGGTAGAGTTTAATTTCAAAACTGATCTCACTGCTTGTCAGATTGGGGAAAAACTGCACCAGGCCATGGCAGTCTAAACCAGTCAGGTCAAAACTACTCTTCTTGCTTGAGTCAGATGTCAGAACCCTTCAGTTCACTCAGGAAATTGGAGTTCCTCATGCAAGAGAACAGTTTGTCCCATGTCCTCCTAAGCAGCTTCCTTTAAAACAATTCTTTTAGACTTTTCTCCCTCAGGTTTAAGCAATGTTTAAATCTGACAGCTGAGATTCATGTTCCTCTCCTGCTTTTTGGCTCCTGTGTACTCTCACCACCTCTTGCCGCTTACGAGTTGTGCATTGTCAGAATTCTGAACCATAAAGTCCACCCTGACCATACAATGTCTGTTAAATCCCAGTCATCCTTTGGAGGATGGCAGTGACTGATTGCCCAAAGTACTGCAGTTTTCACTGCTTGACTAAATTCCTTGTAAAACCCCAGCACTGTGCCTTTTCAGTTTGGGTTTTAAATACCTCCTGGGAGCCTGTCTGTGCATTCAGGCTGCCTTTGTTCCTTCCAACCCTGCACATTACAGCAAACATCAAGCCCTAGACATCACCTCTCTGGGCCTTTTGGCTCTTTTTTTTCCTTGCTGATTGAAAGTGCCCTTGTAGGTGGTATGTAGATTTTCCTTCCAACACCCAAATCCCCCCTTGAGGGATCTTGCTTCTCCAGCACCAGTGAGGCAGCCAGACACGGTGGCTGGTGCTGCTGCCTCTCCAGGGCTCCTTCTGCAGGGGCCACAAACACGTTCTGTGTCTTTGCTGCTGGTGGGGATTGATATAAAACGATAAATAATAGTCCATAATAATTGACAGGATAAGGGGGAATGGTTTTAAGCTAGGAAA